ATACTAACTTAAAATTAAATTCCAAGTTCCTTAAAATATTATTAAAATTTGCATTTATATAAGTACTTATATATTATGTACTTACTTCTTACATAATATGTATTTCATTATTTATATAAGCTTTTATTTTCTATATAATTTTTTTTTAATTTTTGATTATTGGTTTTCTAGTTTTCTGACTTTACATAATAATTGAAGAATTTAATTTCGTTTAAATTTGTAAGTAATGTTTACTAAAATCTTTAAAGAGACGTAATACTTTTCTTAATGTTGCTCTTATGCGCATAATGAAATCTATGTACTTTCTATAATAAGACATAGTGAAACTAAAACTATATATGTTTTCGATTTTACTACGTAATAAAAAGTTCTTGGCTGATTGTGTTTTTCAAATTTCAATAAAAGAAAGAAAAATCATAGCTTAAGAAAAGACAGTATGAATAGCATGCATAAAAAATTTGAAACAAATAAAATTGCATATTAACAGGCGAATATAACATTTTTAATGATCTATCACAATTTACAGTGTTCAGTTTTATTTTTCTTTTTTTTTTGTTTTATTGGCATAAAAATAAATGTTAGCATCAAATAAGAAAATATTTTAAAGTCGTAAGATAAATTGAAACCTTGTTTTGTTTTCTTAGTTTTAATTAATAATTTCTTCTTTACACTATTTTTTATTTTTTGAGTTAACTCACATACTTTTAAAGTAAATATCGTGCAGAAAATTCAAATTGTTTCCACATTTTAACCACATTATTAACTTGTTTAATTAATATACATTTTTAATTTTAAGTTTTTTAAAAGAGGGAATAATAATGAAATACCGATATATTAAAAAAATAAATTTATAAATAAAGTTTAAGAAGAAAAACGAACGGAATTTGCAAAACAAAATCAAATAAATAAAAATACCAACCGAATCGCAAATTTGAAAATTTATTACACAAATAGGAAAAATTGCCATTCTTTATACTGCATATATATATATATATATACAATTGATTAAATTACGTAATTTACGTTAAGTAATATAAGCAAATATGCAAATCGCAAGTACATATGTACATATATAAATTCGGTCGAATTGAAACTTTACTGTTCAACTACAGGAAAAAACAGCCGGTACGCGATTTTAGTCATTTCAATTTAGAAATTTAGGGCTATTATCATTCTGCTTTCTGAGATTTATCCAAATAAAAAAAAAAACTATAAAAGTGATATAATAAAAATGTTTGTAGACAATTCTTTTTTTTCATACCACAAACTTTTATTGCTTATACTTTTCCCATTTTTCAATATTATATAATATACACGCTTCTGAATCTTTTGAAAACTTTAAAATAATGTTTTTAAATACAATTTAAAATATTAACCAATAAACATGGTTTACATAAAATAGTTATATTAGGAAAAATATACAGTAGTTTCGATTTGCCAGATCAATTGTGGAAAATGTAGATTTTAATTAAATTTCAACAGATAGTAGATTAAAAAACTCCACAAATTTCTGAATGTACAACATAAAATTTTCAAAAAAGAATACAAAATAACTTTATCTTATTATCAAAATGAAAAATTGTAAGAAAATCCTGCTTTATTTTATTAACTTTTATACTTATTGTCATTTAAGTAAAATAAAAATTATGTAAAGTACTCAAAAAGTTTCTTATGCATCATCAGTTACAATTAAGGAAGACATAACGAAATTAAATAAATTAATAATTTGTTTTTTCTTAATTTTAATAATTTTCAAAAGTTCATAGTTTTAATTACTTTATTGCATTGTTTTCGTAAATTTCATTTTTATTTATATAACATACAATATTAATATATATGTAGTTATAAGTGAAATATGAAGAAAAGCCCTTCTAAGTTATATTTTAAATATTACATACCATGAATACATGTAACATTAATTTTTATGTTTTTCTGTTTGCATCGGTTTCCATTTGCAATTATATAATACATGCATAAAAAATTAAAAAATAAAAGGTAATAATAATTTTGTGTTACTTTTTATTGTTTGATTTAGAAAATTCTCTTAAATATTCTCAAATTTTGTTGTTATTGATATAACTTAAAAAATAAGAATAACTTACATAAATTAAAACGAAACAACATTATTAGAGCAGTGATTATTATTTTATATTAAGGTGGAAAAACTAAAGCTGGAAAATATAACATTAACAACGGATTTGTGATAAAGCACCTCAATATTTAACAAATTTATTGCCAATTCAGGATACATTTATTAATTCCATTACACTTTAATATCTACTTTAAGAACTTAGTTTCTAACCCACCACAATAGTGTGATTCCACAAAATATAGGTTTATTCATGGTAATTTAAACTGAATTTCTAAATAAAATTACTCAAACATTTCTTAATATTTTATATCGATGAGAAAAAATATTTTTTTAATATTATTTGTTGAAAAAGTTTCTTCACTTTCTAAAAAATGTATTCACTTGAAGATTACCAATTTGAATGAAATCTAGTTGACAATATATAATAACCACTTTTGAAAAACGATTTGCATAATGTAAGTAGTAAATAATTGTAAAAAGTAATACATGATTAATAAAATAAGATAATAGTTAAAATATTATGTATTTATTATATATACGTATATCATTGATTTACTATTTAAGATATTATTAAAAAAAAATTTTCGTTTATTAAAACTTAATTAACCTTGCTCTATCAAAATCCCTTGAAAACATTTCAGAACATTAACGCGTACATATTTAGATAGTTACTTATCAAAATAATTATAAAATTTAGTCCGTACTTCTGGTTTTATCCAGACTCCCACGAAAATATTTGTGTTTTGTGTCCTAATGTAATATACTTAAATTCTCGGTAGGTATAGCATTAAATTCAGTCCTAATAAACATGAGCCTTTAAGAATTACACATAATAAAAGTTGCATCATTCGATGATATCCCTGATAATCATATAATTTGGAAACTATCATTATTATAATGTTAACCAAAAAAAAAAAAATTTAAGACTTTTTTTTAAATACTGAATATCGAGTTAAATTTATAACATCATTTGACCAGTATATCAATAATATATATGTAATTTACCCATAAATTTGACATTATTAGGCATTGTGATAAATTTAGTTCCATTAACCTAATTGTATTTGTTAAATATAAGCAGTGAATATCACTTTTCCATTGTTAACTATGAAATTTTTCTTACTTAATCCTTTTTTACATATATAAAGAAAAAACTAAAATTTTTAATTTTTTATATTGTAAAAAAAAATATTTTTAGGTACATATTGAAATAACTACTATTTATAGCCCCGTTAATAAAACAAAGTTATAAATTATTAACAATAATTATTAGAATATTTATCAAATAAAAATAATCATAATAATTACAATAATGATTAAAGTAATTTATAAACTAATATTTTAAAACATATATGCGTAAATTTAAAATAAAAAAGTTTTCTTAAAAAATGTATAGCTACTTTTAATCATCCTGATTTTGATTGATATTTCTATAAACACTATATTACACAGTTGCATTATACTCATATTCGTAACAATATTTGATAAAAAACCTAAATATATACTAATAAATTGCATAGAAATTTTGCTCGACTAAACAAAATTTTGATACATATAAATATGAATACTACATACATATTCATATCTATGAGCTTATATATATGTAATACCCTAATGAATTACATGGAAGATGGTATATACATCATATTTTTCATTAGGGTGTTTTATATCTACAAATATTTGTATATTAATCATACAAATATACATTGAAGGTATATTTCAATTTCATACGCAGGTATATATATTTAAATATATATTTAAATTTTTGGTGTTTTGCTAAATGTAACATTTTTTATGACTAAATAATATTTTTAATGAATGGAACAAAAAATCGAAATTTATATGACATTTTGCTTCAACAACTAAAACTTAATTAACAATATTATGAGAATTTATAATATGATTATCTTAAACATACATAGAGCAACAAAAATTAGCAAAATGAAATAAGACCGTATACAGAAAGAGCTCACAAAAAATCAAAATGTTTCAGAATTTAAAATACATATAATTTTTGGATACTAAACCGCATTTCAGTATATTTTTATATTATGTTTTTTCAAGCCTAATTATTCCGTTTTTTGAATTTTTTGTGGATATTTACATCTATATGAAATGTTTCTGCATTGTTTCGACAAGTATTTATTAAAAATTATTAATTTTAAATTAATATTTGGAATAGCAAAAAAAAAATTTATAATTTTTACTACACGCTACAAGGTGTATGTGACATTAAAACCCTTTTTAATATTTTCCATTTGTTCATTTATTTAACTAAATGCAGTGTGGTACTAAATATTTGCTGCTCTAATCTGTTTAACAAAAAATCTGTTACATAAATTTTACTTTCAAAAACTTTAATTGTTATGTAAAATAACAATAAAAATTTTTATATAAAACATAATTTTTGCATTGTTTTGTTTGAGACATCCATTTTGTTTATATGTATATTTTTTTCTGTTTTAAGTTTTTTTTCTTTTTTGTTTTCTTTTTGTTGAAGAATCCTAACATATTGTTTTATTTAAATTTAGCGTAATTGTATTTAATTAATTGATTTTTATTTGATTTACATTTTAAATTTAAAGACCACATTCAAATGTTTTTAAGACCATAATTATATTATAATATTCGTTATTTTTATACTTTTCATAATTTAATAGACTTGCGATGCTATGTTAATTGAACAACATAAATATCAATATTTTGGAACATAATATGAATAATTTGTATATTTTTTTAAATATTATACTAATATTCAACCATTTAATTTTTTTTAATGTTTATTTAATATTAAATACCTAAAATTACTCAAAATTAAAAATTATAAAATAACTGTAGATACTATATGTGTATTTAAGTATTTTTTTAAATAATATAAAACATATTAAAATAGAAACAATAATTTGCTTGAAGCTGAAAAAATGTTTGAATTTTGCAACGTGTATTTTGGAAAATATCGATTAAATAATATGAAGTTGAATTTAAAGATATGTATGAAATATTATGCATGTTATTTTGAATTTAACTGCAATTTTATTTTGAATGTTAATGAATTAAAAAAGTATATTTATCAAATAATAAATATTTTGTTTGAAATTTATTTTCATTTTCACATAATCCTATAGCATTTAAATAACTATTGTCCCTATTATAATATGTTTTAGCATTTCGAAATCATTTTCCAGTTTCACTTATGCGATTTTTTTAATGAATTTAAGATTATTTTTAGATTAATTTCATAATTTTTTTTTATTTATTTTAATATTTAATTGGCCAATAATAATATTCTTAAATTAATTTGATTTTTTGACAAGCGGTACATATAATTGAGATAATTTCTTTTGAATAATTTGTTTAATATAATTGATAAGCGTTAATCATTAATTTAAAAAAAATTGCATTTTTTTTATTTCATTTTTATGTTTTCTATTGAATAAAAAGCTAAATAAGCAGTTTTGTTTGACTTTCTTTTCTTGTATATCTTTTCGTTAAAAAATTTTATACTTATTGTAGTTCAAATTTTTATATTTTACATATTTAACTTAAAAATAAAATGAAGCATTCATATGTTTGTATACAATAATTGCCATTTATATAAAGTAAAATTTTATAATAGTAAGTTAAAGTATAAATAGTTTATCATGTAATGGTTATAAGTATTGCATGGTTTTTGTAAGTGTACTCCGGTGTATTTTGGAAATTTGATGTAAATTTACTGTTCAGAATTAACTTTATTCAATTAAGTTAATATATAAATAAATTGGTAATTCTGTACCATATATTTTAAAATTTATTAAAAATTACTTTGTAAAAAAAATCTTTATGACATAAATTTTGAATAAAATTAAACTTTATCATACTTAAATAATATTTAATAATTCACGTCTTTCATATTTTATTATAGCATTAAAATAATGAAATTAACAATATTTTTTTTTTTTGCAGTCAAAAATGAAAGTAGAGTTTAAAAGAAAACCTTGCAACTATCTACTTACAAAAATCTAGTGTTAATTTATTTTTTTTGTAAATTATTATTTAAATACTTTTACTTTCATAACAAATTTTCCATAAATTTGTTTTGAATATATCAAAAAAGAAACTGTATTTCCAACAAATTGTATTTCTAATACATGATTTTAATTAAGTTACTAGCATCAAATTTACATTTCAATATGTAAATATTAGCCATATATAGAATAATGATTAAAGCAGTAAATTTACATCACCTTTTGCTTTTTTATAATAATACGTTTTAAAAAACAATTTCCTATTTATAAATATTTTTTTTTTCATTTGTAATCTTTTATCTTAAATACTAAAATTTTACACTAAAGAAAAAAGAAAATTGTAAAAAATTTTCTGCTGAATAAAAAATATTCAAATAATTTTCAATTTCTTTTCTACATCCCTCATGGTATTTAAAGCTTTAGACGTCCTTTTTTGTTATATTCTTATATAATAAAATTACATTTTGTTAATAAATTAAAAATTAAAAAATTACTATTATATATATAAAAAATATTGTTAAATTTCAAATCCATATTCATTTTTAAAAACTAAATTAAGTTCATATGTATCTGTCTATTTTTTATATCTATGTATGTTTTAATATATCAATCATATTAAACACAGATATATATTATTTATTTTACATCAATAAATTTTATAAATTTAATGTAAATTATAAATACTTTCATTGAAGCTTATATATTCAACCATGATTTTCACCCATCGACCCTTGTTATGTTAGTTTTTCAAGAGTTGATTAATGCAAAGACATTTAGGTATAAAGTTTTAAAGCAATTGACATTCTTGATAGCTTAAGCAAAGTACATAACTTTCTTTGTGTCTGCATGTACTGTTATAGCACGTGCCATTGCGCCTGGTGTTCTATCTTCTGAGCATCCGCTTTGATGTGATCCTTCGCCGGAATCGTGTTCTTTTTCCACTAAATGATACCTAAAATATTTAAAAGTAGTGATTATAAACAAAAAATTTATTTCTATAAGCATACCTTGCTCTAAAAGCGACTAAATGAGCATAGTACGCTGGAGCTGGAATCGAAACCGATCTTGTGCATCTCACATATGTATGACATAGTTGATATGTTAAGCATTGTAACTCATCTGAATCAAAATGATTGTCATCCCATAAAACGTGATAGTGAGACGGTCGACTTGTACCCTAAATAAATAGATCTAATATGAGTAATAATTTTTTTTTTACATATAAAATTTTAAACCTGAATTCCCTGATGGCTACATAAATAGAAATCAAATTCTGTTGGATGTGTTATGCCAACATCGACAGTTGTACCAGCTGGAATGTTGCCAGATTTACCACTTTGTTCCTTTTTTTCAGCGCAAAATAATCTAGTATGATGACGCTTTTGTACAACAATAAATGTTATACCTGGTCTATAATCTGCTTCCAGTTTTATGCATGCTTCACGAATAGCAGTCAATTCATGTTGTAATACAGAAACAAACTGTCCTTCCGAGACACCGTCCCGATATAATATAATTCGATGTGGTTTATAACCACCAGTAGATTTATAAAACATTATTAAAAGTTCACGAACCATACTACTTAGTTCTTGAATAATTTCTTGCCGATGTTGTTGTACGCGAACTGTTGCTGCATATCTTGATGGGTGGGCATCCATTGACCCAACAACAGCCGCTATCGATGGCTTTTTATTATCACCAGCGGGCGGGTGTGTAACATCAGCTCCTAAGAATATGACGGGTTCATTGAAAACCTTTGGACGTATTGAAGGTACCAAAATTGAATTAATACCGCCTAATTTAACATTGATTTTCAAGCACAAATTAGATAATGTTTGAGGCGATGTTTTATTAACATTTTTAGCTTGCACACATTGCGTTGCCATTCCTAAAACTGTATCTCCAACACGTTTTACTTCAGCTAAAATTAGAAACAAAATTTAAAATTTAAGTAACTGAATTCAATTAAATCTTAAAGTAAAAAAACTCAATAAAGTTTTAAACTTCAAATTACTTAAGTAGAAAACTAGTTTTAAAAATGTGGTGAGGTTTACAGAAGAAAGTCTATTAATACACAGCAAGATTTAAACACAACAAATGAATATGCGTCTAGTTAAGTTAAAAACTTAGGATTTATTATTCTATATATTACGTTCTTACCATAAACGGGAGTTTTTCCGGGCAAAACAACTACTACTAATTGTAATGCATTAAATGAATTTTTCAAATATCTGAACATCGGTTCCACTTGATCTGGTCCCGTTGCATATTTGCAAAAACAAGGTTGTCCTATGATTGGCATACCAGCATCATTCGAAATTTTTTGTAACTGTTGAGTAAAATTTCTCAAAGCATCCTCCCGAACAGTACGCTGTGGTGCAAAACATGCTATTGCCCATACACGAATTTCAACTCCAGTGAAAAATTGCTTGCCACGCATATCCCAAACACCTTGATTCGGCGATGCTAGACTCACTTTATTCTGTGGAGTAAATAACGGCTGTGCTGACTTTTTAAACACGACTCTTCCAACAAAATAATACGAAAAAAAAAACGAAAAAACGAAAACAAAACATAAAAATTAAAAATACTTACTTGTCCACTCATACTGGAAACGCGTCCCCCATATTGCAGTTTAGGTGGTGGCAAAACTCTGCCCCTTACTTCCATCATTGAATTTGATATTGTTAAACCAAATTCTTGAACATATGAATCATTATTGAAATCTGCTCTTTTGACTAAATTATTAATTTCACGTTCACGGTCTGGCGCAGAACGTGCTGTTGCTTTTATCATAGTCGAAGTCTGCATATCTGTCAGTTTCTTAATACATCGTTGTCCAGCTACAATATTACATACTTCAAGAGGCAAATATGTATGTTTGTGCTCTTGTCCAACTTGTAAACATGGTAAATGAGGATATCGCAATTTCATACGATATTTATCCAAAAAGTATTTTGCAACGGTACATTCAACTGTTTGACCATTTTCCAATTGCAGTGGAAATCTAAAATATAGCATTTATGTTTGAAATATAACATTTGTTTTTATGCAGTTCTTAAGAGTTAATTTATTGTTAACACATCAATTAAACTTACGATTGCATTTGAGCTGGTCTCCTAGTAACATTACAAACACGATATTTTCTCCTCATTTGGCCACAATGTGTTATTTCAATTTTAAGTCCTTTAATTTCCTTCGTAAATTTGACACGTTGAGAATCTGTCAATGGCTTTCTTTGTTCATTGATATCTCTAATATCTAAAACTTCACACATGAAATCGATCACTGGCTGCGCTTTATAAAAGGCCGTTGCAGAGACTGAAAATATTTACAAAGTATGAGAAATGACATTATGAAACATTGTTGAATTAATTACCATCAATATTCAACATCATTTTCCATTGGGAAGGTCTAACGCTTTGATGAAAACCAAACCATACTTCACGTCCACCACCCAACGGATGATAATAACCATCAGGTGAACTGAAAAAACTTCTTCCAACTGGAGTATATGTCATACTGGGTAAGTGCCTCATAACAACATCTAAAGCTAAAATTGCATCATAGGGAATTTGTCGTGTACGACCTTCCAAAGCTTCTTCTAAATTAAATAATGAAACTTGTGCCATCCATTTTATTGTAACACGAAATATTCGATCTTTTCCCTCTCCAGGTAATGTTACCTCCAATTCCAAACGATCATTACCAATTGGTAATGGATCCCTTGTATATAAATTATTTCTACCATCAAATACTGGTTTCAAAACACCAAATATTTTACTATATGCATGTACCATTGTTTCAATAATTTCACGATTTACTTTGCGCGGGCATTTATCTGGTTGTATATTAATATCATAATGATGAACATAACCACGTGGCATAGTTACTTGAAAATGATTTGCTCTTAAAGTTATTGGCCGACCTTCGCGACCCAGATTTGGTCGGCGGGGACATGTAAACATTGGCAGTTCTGGTTGAGTTGGTGTCGGCGTTGTTACAGCGCCGGTTAAAGACGCTGCAACAGTACCACCACCAGTACTTGTACCAGCTGCCGGTGTACCAGATGTAACACTTTGTACAGTACTTGGACTTGTAACTGATGTTGGATTCACTGATGAACCGGGCGCTGATGGTGGTGCTACAAATAAAAATTAAAAAAAAGTAAATACATAATTAAAAAATGATTAAAAAAAATAAATAAAATTGATTAAGCTTTTATAAAACATAAAAAATACAAACCAAAACAAAAAAAAGAGAAAAATACAAGAAAAATTCAGACTAATAATTACAAAAAAGCTCATTTTAAAAATACGATTAATGTTTTTTTTTTTTAAGTTCTTAGAAGAAGAACTATACAACATTCTGGCAACACTTAGTATAGTAAACAGAAATATATTTAAAACTATGAAAAAATCAAAAGTAGTTTAAAATTTCAGTTAAGTTTTCAAAAGTACTATACAAATTTATAATTTTATATTATCATAAAAAATATAGAAAGAAAAAATTAAAAGAATTGAAAAAAAATACTTCCAAAATCATTATGTATTACAGGATACAAAATATGTACAAAAGAAATAAAGTAAATTATAAACTTTAAGTAAATAATGAGTGTTGGGCAACAAAGAAAATCATATAGAAATAAAATGAGATTGAATCCGAAATTATGTCAATCTATGTGAGAAACACGGATATATAATAGTTAATATAAGCTAATATATATAGAAATATATACAAACAAATTAAAATATTTTCTTCGAAGTTTCGTTTTTGAACTCATTTTATAAATTGAAATATATCCATGATTAAGTAGCAAGTATCCTCAAAACCAATAGAATCAGTATGTTTTAAAAAAGAAAAAGATAATAATAACGCTAATTTAAATGTGAGTAAATTTTAAGAATTCATTATACCATTTTGAAAATCTCGAAATCAATAAGTTTACAATATTTTCCAATTAAGTAAAAATGCAGATTTATTTATTTTTATGGTCCAATGTTGTTTTAATACAACCATTCAATTGGTTGTATTCAAAAACTAAAATTCAAAACATATATTTAATCTAAAAAGTAATTACGAATTCGAAAGGTAATAAATCCAAAATGGCGCACGATAAACGTGAAAATTTCGACAACTCACAGTCCTTTTAAATTAAAATAATTATAGTAAGCTTAGTATTTATTTTATTGTGTTGAACAGATTAAGGTTTTTTTTTTTAATACAATAATTACATCCCTACAAATTATGCATCATAAATCATGTACATAATTTATCACATTATAAGACAAATTATGTGTCTTAAAAGGAATTAAATAAATAAATAAAATTAAATGGATGAAATGTAATACAATTTTATTAATTTAAATTAGTTTCCATATTCCTTTAGAAAAAGTAAAATTATCAAACAAATTTAAAAAATTTTGAAGAAATCATTGCTAAAATAATTACACTAAAATTTTACAATTTTCCAAATTTAATTTTCATGCCAATTCAATAACTAAATTCAAAATAATAAATATTCAATTTTTTGCAGTTTTCTTTCAATTAAAATTGATTGATTTATAAATTTCAATTCTAAAACTTTAAAACACGTAGACTTAAATATATATGAGTAGATTAACTAAGTAGATAAACTCAAAAAATTTTTGAAAAATTTGCGTAAATTAAATTTTATTTATTTTAATAAACTTGAAACACTTGGTAAATATTGAGAAAAACCAAGTGTCTGTCAATTTTACTTATTTCACAATTGCACATTATAATTTGAGTTTTTAAATTAAATATTCGATCAAAATATAATTCATTTTATTTTTGCCTATTTTAGTCGAACAATTCCACAGCTTTGTTTTCAAATCGTTCAGAAATTATAAAATAACAATTCAAAATTACTAAATAATTTTCAAAATTTCAAATGAATAGTTTAAAGTCATATTTTGTTTTTATTAATCAACCAATTTTAAAACATGTTGCATACTGAAGAAAACCCAAAAAATTTAATTTTTCAAAATCTGTATCTTAAATTATATTAAATTAACGATTAAAATTCATTAAATTCAGTTTAAATTGTTTTTAATTATTTGTTCTAATCTTTTGATATTTTCATTTGATTTCTCGGTTTTGTGGTTTGCATGGCTCTTTTACATAGAAAACTTTTACATAGATAACTTTTTACATAAATTTGCATAATTTCTGTAATAACAGAAACTTTCTGTTGTATTTGTATTATTTGTATTTTAATATTCTATTTTGTTATGAAATACATTCTGTAAAACAAGAAGGATGAATATAGTCGGAATATCACATATAACAACTACTATTTTCCAGAATCGAAATTAATTCCAAATCCTAAAACCTCAAAATATTAAATATTTGAAAATTTTAGAAAGAAAATTTATTAATACCAAGAGATATTTTAAATTTCTACATATTGGGAATTCCATGGAGAATTAAAATCAAATTTTAAATATTGTTCCATAACAAAAATTGATTGTTATGATTTTGCTTATGAAAAAGTTTTATTTGTAAAATCGAACGGATCCCAATTTGTAACATTTTGTGTCTCAGTGACTAATATAATTATCGATTTTATAATATTTTTTTATTAAAATGTCATATTTTAAACTTATCCGTTAAGACAAAAAATAAAACATGCGATTCCGACGTCTTTTAGCAACTTTCAGCGGCAAATTTTTTTTTTTAATATTAGCCAAAATATTTGTTATTACAATAACAAAGTACATACTGCCCTATATAAGGGCAAATATTTTTTAAACTATAATTAAATAAATCCATATTTAATGCAAAAAAAATATTTTCAATTATATTTGTTCGAATGTAGTGGTTAACACAACATTCCCGATGTATAAAATTATTATTTGATTTATTCAATCGTTAATTTAATATTTATTTCTTCTACAGAATTTTAACTAAAAATGCATTTTTTTCAATCCAATTTACAACTGAAAAATATTAAAAATTTTACTTAATTAAAAAACCAATTCCAAAAACCATCACAATAATTAAAATTTAATTTTAGGTTAAAAAAACAAACACAAACTGAATAAAAAAAAATAAAAAATTTTAAATAACATTTTGCTAAATTTCATTAAAAATTTTTATTTTTTTTTATATTTATTAATTTTGTTAAATTTAAGTGCTTTTTTTTTTGTTAAAATATTTTTACATGTAAGTGTATCGAAGCTAGTCTGCGACTGTGAAGGACTCGGTGGCCTAGGTGGCGAAGAAGTCCATTGAGGCTCTATAAAAATGAATAGTTAAAATAAAAATAAAGAAAAAAACAAAAAAAAAATAAAAAAGTAAAAAAAAAAACAAAAAAATATAAAATTAACATAAAAATTAAAATTTTATAATTTAAAAAAAAAATAAAATTAAATAAATGAAAAAATTAAAAATTGTAAGTTTAATAAAATATAAAACGATAAAATTAAAAAAAAATTATAATTTAGAACGATTAAAGAAAAAAAACGAATATTTTCTCATTAATTATCAGTTTTTTTTTTTTGTTATTTTTCAGTCTAATTTATAACGTTAATTACTATAATTAATTTATAACGTGTTTTGTATCTGTTTTTGTAGAGGTATTCATTTTTGATTCAATATAAATTATGTACTTGCATGTACAAATGTAAATAAAAACATGTTAGTATAAAAAATTGTGTTTTACAGGAAAGATTTTTAAAATTAAAAAAATCTTCAAATATTGTAATTATCGTCTTTTGTGAAAAGATTCAAAACTAGCACAAAAAAAATGGAGACCCGTATTTATTTGTTGAATTTTTATTTTTATTTAAAATCAGAGAAAATTTAAACACATATACAATACAATAGTTTAAATATGTCAAACTAAATGGAACTGCAGATATAGACTTAGTATTTTATAGATCATAAAGGAAATTTTACTATCTCAATTTAAAATTGTAATATAAAATATTATTAGCCAATTAAATGTCAAAAATACTAAATAATACAAATATGTTATTACGTTTTAGTTTAAATTAAATTTAAACTACAAAGTGGTATAAAATCGTGGCTATAAATGTCAAATAATGAAAAAAGTTGTATTATAATTTGTAAATAAAAGAACTGAAAGTTATAATTTAAATATATTTTCGATTATACTGAAAATCAATGTAATTCAATGATTTTTACAGTTAAAGTTAAAGCTGTGGATAAAACGCGATAATTTATGAAGAACTCCTAAAATAAATTCCTTTAGTATATTATATAAAATATAAAAAACTTTGTGTAGTCTACAATGTCAAATTGACTTTTACAATCTCAATATAATATAAAATTCAATAAAATCAATTCAGTACTTTTGAATTTGGTAAAAAGAAGAGCTCAAACTATAACAAAACTAATGAGGTGAAAAACAAAACTTAAAATCTATGACAGATTTCGAGTTTAGGAATAGTTCTGTTCGCCTATAAAATTAATTTTATTTTCTTTTTTGCACATATAATTTCGTTTTTAATTTGTTGTACATTTTAGATTCAGTTTAATATTATAATTTAATTATATTTACTGTGTAAGTAACCATAGTATGTGCGTGTATTTATAGTGTAATAAATATACATGTTTGTGTAAGTGTAAACTATTTAGACAATAGTACTGGTGCAAATGCAAAAAAAAAAAATTCATTTAAATTTGCAATATGAAATGAATACCTCTTAATTTTTTTTTTATTAAGTACTATTTATTTACAAAGAATAATTTAATTTAAAGATATTTGTATATAATATGTATATATATATATATATATATTTTTAAAAAACCAAGCTTTCATTTGAATAACATTAAAATTAAATTGAATTATTGAAAAAGCTTAATAATTTATTAATTTATTTTACATTAAATATGATATTTTCATTAAAAGAATAAATTAAATAATAAAATTGATAAAAGTCTATAAATAAGAAAATATATAATGTTATGTAAAAATATTTTCGTTAAAAAATTCTTTGTAAATTTTATTTAAAATAATTCAATATCCAATATTTTTAAAATATATAATTATGCTTATACATATATACATAATTAATGCATACAAATATTTATGTACATATATTATTATTTTATTCTAATATTAATATAAATTTATAAATTAATTAATATAAATATAATTTCAAATGTATTAAACGGTGAATTTATTAATTTCATTAGTAAAAAAAAAAATTATTTTTCAATTAGCTGTTATTATTAAATTTTTTTTTTAACCAAATTTTTTAATTTAATTATCTGATATTAAGTTAATTTAAATTAATACATAAACCATTAGTAATCTTTTGTATGTAGGTGCTTATATTAATCCTTCAACAATATGTCAACTACGTCAATTATTTGATTTTGCATTCATTTAATTGATCATATTATTATTAGATGACTTGAGCATTAAACTTTAAAAAAGATGTACAGAAAAATCTAAAACTTCAATTGTATTGGCAACGTATATTGGAAATCTTGACTTGCTTCAAAGTGTAAGTAAATGACATCTTGGGAAATTATAACTTTACATATATTTTTTTATCAGTAAGTAACTAGAAATCTATATATTATGAATTTTAATATCATAATTATCAACGGACATAAATAGGTAAAGCGTAACTGACTAAAATAACTCTAACTTTTTTATAAATTGAAAAAAACAAAGATTTCCAAATCTAAGTCATTAGTGAAACTAGAGTAGTTTATTTAAATTTCTTAAATTTAAAAAAGTTACAGCAACAAATTAAATAAAATTTGCAAATTGTGATTTCAATTAAATCCATTTTTAATTTTTATAAACAAAATTCACATCTAGTAGTTGTATAGCAATATAATGTAGAGGAGGCATTCAGAAAAATTCATGTATTTAAATTTCAATATTTGTTGAGTAGAACTTCCACAAACCAAGTTAAAAGTTTTATTTTTTTAACTTCAATAAAGTACTAGAAACGTTCTAAAACTAGACATTTTAATATGAAATCACTTATTACACAATTAATTTCGCATTTATATGTACTTTAAAGAGTAATAAATGCCAAATTTATTCTTTTTAAACTTGACTCTGAATTATTTTTTGAACTCATTTGTACTTGTTATTTTTCTCTAAATTTTGCTTAAATAGGAAATGCAAAAGTAAAACGGTGTATTTCTCATTGGCAAACTTTCAAATTAGTGCAAAGCGCAATGCATTCCAAGGAAAAGTTTCTGAAAATAAAATTGACCGCTTTTAATTTAGCTTGCTTGATTTTATATCAATGAATGCCAGTAAATGAACTTTTTAATTTTCCCATTGAAATTAACATAACAACCTTTCAAAAAATCAATTTCAGTTTTAACGTATTTTTTGTATAACTGCAGAAAACTCCTTCTAGTTACACACTGTATTAAATTTCAATTCAATTTACTTGTTTAATTTATTAAACAAACATAATTTTAATACTCTTAATTTTTATTTTAAAATAATTTGTTGCACATACTTATCTCTATTTCCTACATACGATATACATACATAGTTAAATACATTTTATTTTGAGAACTTAATACCAGATAGCTAAAATGAAAAAAATGGTTTATATCACATTTTAAACAAATAACTCCTACATACATATTCTTAGATATATATAAATATATATGTATGTATGTAAGCATGTGAGTTATACTTTTAATTTCATTTTCAAGAACTTGTAATTGCAGTCAAGATTTCAGGAAGATTAGATTAAATTTCAAGCTAAAAAATATACAAGTATAATATATGTATATATACATATATATACATTTTATATACGTACAATTAAAAATATACCTTTGTATTTTTTTTTGTAATGAATGTTTCGAATATTGAAATCTTATATTATATATTTTTTTTTAAATTACTACAATTAATATACAATGTAAATTTATTTTAATACCTTTCCAAGATTGCACTGACAACGTTTACAAAATTGAAATTTTTAAAAATTGACTTTAACATATTATCTGTGAAATTAGTTTTAAAGGTACTTTTACCTTATCTTGTGCCCAGTATTATTCAATTACAAATTCAAGAATTCAAGAATTCAAGAATTAAAAGAATTTATGAATTGACCTTTATAGGGATTTTGTTTCAATTTAAATTTGAAAAAAAAAAATCCCAAATATTGAATCAAATGTTTTATTTACTAAATTTTTTTTGCTCAAATCTCTTATTTGTACATAAATAATTTGAAATCAGTTCGGAATAATTAAAACAAGTGAACTGCTACAATACAATAGCATAGACCCTCATGGGTAGATAAGACTTAATAAATTTAAAAAAGCAAGACTATTGGAAGTAAAACTGAATTATTGGTCTGAAAAAATGTTGGAATACCAATTTAATATTCTCTGGCCCCTCAGCAGTTTCTTATTAAAAGAGATTATTTTTGAACTGTTGTTATTGTAAATTTTATAACTTTTTTTGAGTCATTGAAAAAAAAATAACGCAAAAAACTTTTTTTGGCTCAAACTCTTAAACCATAAGAGTTAGAAAAATAGTTAATGTAAATCCATTTTTAGCCCTTTTCCAAAAATTTTTTGAAAAAAAGTGCTTATTAGTTTCACTCTGTCCGTCCGTCCGTCCGTCTGTCCGTGTGTCTGTTTACAAAACTTCTACACCCTCGAAGATAGAAAGCTGAAATTTTGTACGTACATAGATCTTTACTAGAAACTTATTTCCGTAGAACAAAATTTTCACCTATCTCCCCCCTCTAGAAGTTATACCCCCCCCCCCCCCCCAAAAACCCTAAAAATGGCCTTTTTTAACTATTTGTTGCAATGAAACAGCGGCTTGCTTTCCCTAGCGCGGTAAATTATGGTTAAACTTTAGAAAAACAAAATGGCCGTTAAAATTTACCGTTGTCTAAAGTCTTTTTTTTCCAAATTTTTGATGTCGTTTTTCTTCTAGACCCCAGCTTGTAGAAGCTTGAAATTTTAGGGGCTTTTAGACACTAATAAATAGTTCATTTCGTTAGAAAAATTTTTTTTACATCTCCACCCCCTCTCAAATTATCGTCTCTTGAAATTTGTAAAATTTGAATATTTGACACCTTATATTTCCGAAACCGCAAGCTTTTTCAAATTTCTATAAACACAAAAAAGTAACGGTAAATTCCATGACATTAAAAAATATAATTTTTTTTTCTTAAGTCACACAATTAACCCTTAAAATCGAGCATTATGTTAACCCCTTTTTATATTAATTTTTGCTTTATTTCAAAGACTGCATATATACGTCATCCTAAATATATGCAATCCTAGAAATAGTTTTGTATATGAATGAAAATAATTTTAATAGTGTGATAGGTATACATAGACTTTATTTAAAAGCAGAATTTTCACTTGTTGAAGGGAAAAGTGCTATAATACAAACCATTGGTTTGACCCAACTTTATTGATGTTTAAAGTTTTGTTTACCGCGATGATTGACTTACTAAATAAGTAAAAGCATCGCGTTGTACATTACATAAATCATAAAGTTTTTTTTTATAATGTAAAGGTAAAAATTCAAATATTTCATATATTAAAGTTATATTCGGAAATTGAAAACTTTGTAGATAGTGCGTATTCATGAGAGAGCTCTTGCTCTTATCCAAGCTTTTTAAATCAAGGTTGCTCATTGGTTTATTTGACAAAGAAACAGTGTTATAGCTATTCTAAATTTAACAAAATTAGAAAAAACCATCGCGTGACAGCTGTGAATATTGTCGGCACACAAGAATTTTATCTGCTCATGAATATCTATCATAATATCTAAGTATTGGTTTATATAGCAATTCATTTAGGAAAAAAATTGCTACACCCTGTATAATTTTAAAGCTAGTTAAATCCCAATTAACAATTTAAATATCGTCAGAGGTACACAAATATCTGTACACACATAGATGTCACTGAATAAAAAACTTAAAAAAAATGTATGAACGAAACAAAATATTCATTAGAATGGGTTGTTGACCCATTTATTTTTTTAATTTTCGTCATTTATTTTATTTTTTTCTTTTGTTTTTTATTTTGAATTTTGAATTACTTTATTTCCGAAAGTTACTATAAATGCGCATCAAAAAAAATATTTTTTTTGGATTTCAAAAACAAAACACAAAAACAAAAATTCATAACTAGTTCATTTCGTATATGTGCGCACACATTATGTATTTAGTTATAATTTTGTTTAAGCTTTAGATTAAATTTTACTTTACATATAAAATTAAATGTGTTCTAAATTTACGTAATGCGAAAGTGATATTATCGAATGACAGATTACATTTAATTCATTTAAAATATTGACATTACAAGACAAGATTCGTAACTGCAAAGTTTTGATGCAAAGTTAAATTACATATTTTAAAATTCTAAAAATTGGTATAATCTATAATAATATTGACATAATATTTCCTGGAAATGCTAATTAGAATCAAATGTTTTATAAAAATCCTAAACCAAAAGGAAAGTGCTATTATTATGCCACTACATAATTCAAAATTTTTAATCACTATCTTTATGGAGCCAGCTGGCATTCTTGTTGCTTTTGATTTTAATTTATAAAAAATACTGAGTACTATCATCTAAAACATAAATTTTCATAATTAAATTTGAGAAAGTTATAATTTTGTGTAAATTAGAAAAATTAATTACAGAAAATGAAAACCAAACAAAAAGAGAAAAGATTGAAGGTAGTTTTGAATTTTAAAATTTCTCTCTTTTATTCGATTTTTACGTTAAATTTTTAATAAAAATAAAAAAAAAAACACAAACCCTCAAAATATTTTACTCGCACCTTTCAAATAAGTGAGGCTTATTACATACATTATATAGCAAAAGTTTCATAACCTTAATAATTAACGACACGAATCATTTATATGAATTGGTTTGTGTTTAGAATAATGAGATAATTATCGCTATCACTTAGTGATTTGATAGTCAGACTAAGGCCCAGTGGATTTAGAAACGTCCATTATTTACTTACTACTATCTTTCGCTGCCACTTACCGAAGAAACTGTATTCATGTTGCAAAAAGAAAGGTTGCAGAATTGAAGGTAACTCGAGAAACTCATTAAAAACAAGATTTCAGAAAATGGTTACTTTATGTTAAAACTTTAGAAATAGTTAATTGTAATAAATACCAAGAATAAATTTATTTGAATTATAAAAACAATGTTTTATATTGCAGATGGTACTATATACATATTCCATACATAAAATTAAGTTAGAAGATTAAAGAAACCAATGAATTACTTTTAACCATCATTGATTATTTAAAATTCAACATGAGTTTCCAAAGTAAGTTTGTATCGACAGATTATTAATCATTGACAAAAATTTTTAATAAAAATATAAATATTTATTATAATATCAAATTCAAAATACTTTAAAATTATTAAATATTTAATTCAAAATAGAAAAAAGAAATAATTTTGAAGTAGTACCGAAAATACATCCAAAAATTAAAAAAAAAAATATGTTAAATACGTTTTGTTATCAGTGTCAATTTGGAATTATTTAATTATTAGATCGATTTTACTTTTGCTCACAGACTTTAATAGATATTCCCCCACCTCGATAACAGAGAACCCCCACCCCGAATGACTTGTTTTTCTGATTTTTCTGTACTAATTTTCTTAACTAAACAAAATTTTGAAATCGTTTTCATAATAAAGTTTCAATAAAATAACAAATTTAAAACTTTTGCTCTTCCAACCTCAGTTTTGTTGTTCTTACAATTTTTTGCTCTTTTCATGCCATTTTAATCTGAATATAACAATTATAAATTTCAATATGAAATTTTTTATTTAATAATATATACATATACATGTATATATATATATTATTGCTCAGCGTTAAATCCTGCGTTCATTTAGGCATATCCGTCCGTCCGTGCGATCGGAGACTTGGCACTCATGTGACCAATTATAGGTCACATATATCCCTGAAGTTTTGGTGGAATTGCTTGACAGGTATGGGTAGCTGCCATACAACTCTAAAAACAAATTTTAAATATTTGGAAAAATAATAAAGTTAAATTCATAAGACTTGGCAGTTGTGTGTCCAGTTATAGGTCAAATATATTCGTGAAGCTTATAAAGTGTAGTTTGAGAGATTCGAATAATTGCCATACAACATGAAAGCTAATTCTAAATATTTCAAAACAAAATTTTAAAACTCAGATTGTCAAGGTTTTATGCAGTTTTTATTTTTTTAATTTTTACTTTGGCTATTCTCATATTGAAATTTACTATTTTCACATTAAAGTTTAGTATTCTCATTAAAAAACTAAAATAATACAGAATGGTTAGAGGTATAATACTAGAGGTATGTAAAATACTTTCAGTTGTACACTTTCTTTGACCTGTTACTTAAATTATTTTTTCTATCTGAAAGAAAAGCATACTTTATTACACTATTGGATGATTTCATGGCATTATATACCAAAATTAATAATTAAAAATTACATTTGTTATCCTCTTTTACATATTGCTCTCTTTTACAATTTATAAGATTTTATTATTTGCAACAAGTGTGATAGAAAAAAAAAATAGAATTGTAATAAATCAATAAATTTCTTTACCAAGATTATCTAAATTATTATGACTCGTTCTCCCATAATAATAAGATTTAACATTAAAAATCAAAATTATTTTTCGAAAATGTTTCGTAATATAAAAGCAAATCTTTTTATATATATAATATAAGTATATACTTCATGTATAGAAATGCCTAACTTTTTATTAAAATTAAAATATTCTAATATTTGTATTTTTTTCTCTAACATAAAATATGAGAGAAATTATTGGATTTAATAGAACGTCTAGCGAATTTCATTATTATTAAAATGATAACAACAAAATTACCTTATCTTACACAATCTTATACACTAAGTTATATTTTTTTCTTATCGCAAAAGAAATTATAAGTTGTAAAAACAAAATACATATTATATAGTATCACAGTCTTTTTACACCATAACTTAACCTAACTTCTATTCTTATCTGTAGATTTTTTTCATATAACATGCAACAATACATACAATTACGAGTATGCATACAACTACAATTTGGTTATTTTCTCTGATATATTTGTATTTATCAATCGTTAATCGTTCGCAATATACACGGGAATTTTCAATTATCTACTAAAAACGAAATTCATACATATGTATATAGGTTAGTTTAACTATGACAACGTTTGTTATATGACTAACAAAATAAAAATACGAGTATATTGAAATGAAAATGTATTAAAAATCTTCATTGACATTTTAAAATATTAAAAATAGTACATTTAAAAAAAAAAAACGAAAATTTAAAATAGTCTCAATATTTTATTTAAGTGAAATTATGAACATGGGAGCAAGAAATCGTAAAATGAAAAATCAAAATTATCCAAAAATGACAACAAGTTTGCCATCTTTTATTGATTCTGAACAGAACGTTAGTGATAATTTTGCAAATAATTTTAGTACAAGTAATTGTTGTGATAGTAACAATTATATAAAACAAAATCAAATAATAATCAACAAGGATAACAACAATGAAATAATAAAGAATAAATTAAAAAATTTCTCATCACAATGGAAAAATTTAATGATTCGTTCAATATTTGGATTTATTATGATTAGTGGATTCATTTTAATGATATATGGTGGTCCAATAATGTTAATAATTGTTATTTTGATAGCACAAATAAAATGCTATGATGAAATTATAACAATCGGATTTCAAATTCATAAAATTCCAAATTCTAATTGTTTTCGTAAATTGGCGTGGTATTTTTCATTTGCTGTTAATTACTTTTTTTTTGGTGAAATATTTTTTAATTTTATTAATATAAAAATAAAAAATGAATATGATATTTTATATATTTTAATAAAATATCATAGAATAATATCATTTTTATTATACTTTATTGGTTTGGTTATATTTGTAATATCATTAAAAAAGCAATATTATCGTAAACAATTTAGTTTATTTGCATGGATTCATTTAGCATTTTTAGTATGTGTTGTACAATGTTATTTACACATACAAAATATATTTGAAGGTATAATATGGTTTATAATACCAGTAGCAATGATAACATGCAATGATATAATGGCATATATATGTGGATTTTTTTTTGGCCGTACACCATTAATTAAATTAAGCCCAAAAAAAACATGGGAAGGTTTTATTGGAGGTGGTATTGGTACAATAATATTTGGTATAATATTATCAGCTATTTTATGTGAATCAAAATTTTTAACATGCTCGATGGATTATTGGAAATATGGACTTGGACAAATTTCAATGGATTGTGAACCATCGTATTTATTTATAAAAAAAGAATATTCAATATTTCAAAATAAAATAATGATTTATCCGTTTATTATGCATTCTATTGTATTGGGCATTGTTAGTTCAATAATTGGACCATTCGGTGGATTTTTAGCATCTGGATTTAAAAGAGCATTTAAGGTTAAGGATTTCGGTGATAGTATACCAGGACATGGTGGTTTTATGGATAGATGTGATAGTCAATGTTTAATGGGTACCTTCGTTAATGTATATATATCCAGTTTTATTATAAAGTCATCAACAGCAAAAATTTTAAATGAAATTTTAACTTTAAAATATGATCAACAATTATTTATTTTAAATGAATTAAAACAGTATTTAGAGAAAACATGAAATATAAAAACTACAAAATTTTATTTGTTAATTTTATGTATAAAAAAATTATTTTATTTTTAAGATGAACTATTTACTCAAAAAATATAAAAAGTTATTAATAAAAATTAATTATTAATATTATGTAATTTATCAGTCCCTTTGAAAAATTGATATCTAGCTGATAATTAATAGAACCGTGAAAAAAATATACTTATACACTAACAGATAGACTATTATCGATTAGACAATTTAAATTGTTTACTTTAACAATACGTATTTAAGTTATTGTGCACACAAAGTATAGTTTTCGGCTTGTAGGAGAGCATTCAAGTAAACTAGATAGCATAAGTTGAAGCAAATATTTTATAATACGCATAGATACATAATAATGTACTATAATGTAAAACTATAATTATCTATAAAAAAAAACAACTCATCTAGTCGATGGCTGATTTCGGAATTCAATATAAAAGAAAATTATAATTAGCATGGAATGTCCCGATCAGCTATGTGTTGGTTTTTAAGAGTTGGAAAAAGAACGAATTATAACGTCAAAGTTGTAGATACTTTCCCGCAGCGAAAATTACTTGAAAATAGTGAAAATATTTTGAGATGTCTATATCGACAGGTATTGTAAATTTAAATTAAATCTAATATTCCTGAAGGGTACAAGATAAAGGGTACCTAGCAGAATTATTCAGTTTGTTTAGCGTAAAACTATTTTGTTATCATTCGAGTCAAAATTTTACATGCTTTGGACTTCTTTTCATGTTTCATTCTATCAATTTTTCGTGTTTCATTCCAGAACGAATTTTTCTTCTACGTGTACCAACAACCAAATTAAAATATACTACCGATCTTTTATATGAAGAACGAAGAAGTCTAAAAAGAAAGCTAGAAAAAAATCCTTGCATTTTACAGTTAATTCAAAATAAACAATTTACAATATAAACATTATATATGCATAAATAAACCTTCTTTAATTACACGTAGTTGCACTTTTTTATTTTTAATTGAAGAAAAAGGATAGAACCCTACTTACTAGAAAAGTACCTATTAAAAAGCATTTTACTATGGGATAGTACCTGGGAATTCCATATTAGTCATCCGGACGGGGCAAATTTAAATAAATATTATTAATTCAATATGGATTTATCTAATCCCGTTTTACTAATGTTTATAAAATAAGCTATCGTCATTCACCAGGATCGGTACATTCTTTGATATTTATATAAAAAAAAGAAAAGAAAGACTAACATAAGGGTATAGTGTAAAAAAGCTATCGAAATTTGAATAAAATAAGTTTTTAAATAATGACTTCGAAAAATCAACACTTCGAAGAATTAATCTTTACATAATTATTTTTCGGGATATTCCAAAATATCAAATCTTGTTACTTTTATAAAAAAAGATGAGATTGTTGTTTCATTGTAATATGTACTTTTTAGCTTAAATTAGTAATTTAGGCTAATAAGTAGTTAATAATTTACTTAACTTAAACTAATAAATTGATTTTGCAAGGTAGGTACTTATGAGCTATAAATTGATAGGTGTTTAGCTTAGAAGCTAAAAATTTTATTAATTACAAAAGAAAAATTCATTAAAGGATTATCTAATTTTCAACATACTATTTTTAATAAACATTTAAAAACTACTCCCCAGGTAATTTCCCTAGGTAAACTCAATTGTACTATAATGTGATTAATACAAGAAAACTGGGCTATTTTCTATATGTAACGCACATTGTATAATGAAGTATACTGTAGTAGCCAGTAGGTTTATCCATAGATTAATCAATTTTTCAGAAATTTAAAAATATCATGAGTTTCTTAACTAAAAAAACAGGCATAGCTTCAAAATAGTTGTTTTTCCTCACTAATTTACGTTCAAACTTTTGATATTTTTTAATAGAAGTTAATTAGCAAAATAAGTTTTTAAATATTAAGTAAAAATTTCCCATCATAACGTTTCCATCACTACTTTGAGCAATAAATATTTTAAATCATATTCATTGAATGGTAGTTTCTGTTAAAATATTTGTATTAACAACAAAAAATACATTTATGAGTTATTTTTTTATTTTGAATTTTTTTATCTTTAATTAGGAATATTAAGACGATCGCAAATCTTTTTTCCTTTTCTTTTTAAGAATGTAGACGGTTATGTTTAAATTTTATCTGAAAGCCTTGGATGGACCTTCTAAAAAAATGCAAAATGTGCGAAAACAATTGTTGCACCAATAATTATGTTGTTCAAAAAAAAAAATTAGCTAGCCGAAAAAATTAATGAGTATCTTATATTCTCAGTCCACGATGTTAATAAAGGCAAACATATATTTATGCAGGAAATACAGGAAAGTAGGCAATAAAACCACCAATTTTCTTTTTGATTTAACCGTAAAATTTTATAACATAAATAGAATATAATCTTATTTTTTTAGATAAATCAATTTCCATATATTATATTTAAGCGTATACGCCAACCGCTTAAACACTTGTGTAATTACATCTTTTTTATACAAATATGACAAACATGGGTAATAACTAGTTATAATATGTGTGTAATAAAAAAATGTATCTACATTAGCCTGTCTATTTAAAAAAAAAAGCTGAAAATATAGGCATATCTGCCTGCTTTTTTTTGTGTGGAAATAGGTATGTATACCTATAACAACACCTAATTATTTAGGTTCTACGGCCAACGAACTTAGTTTCTATTTTTTTTATTTTCTTATTTTTGATTGTGAGCATTATGTTGTATAAAGTATTCCCAAAAAAAAAATAAAAAAAAAACTCGTAAACAATACTTTATCAAATACATATGTATGTAGGAATGTAAAAGTAAAATATGCACTTATTTTTAAGGTATAATAAATAATTTTTAAAGTGTGTCTTTAAAGCGAATTGTCTGAAAAACAAATAAATTTTAAATTGTAAGAAAATAAACTTCGCGAACTAAAAGAAATCAAAAATTAATTTTTGACGTCGACATAAAAAAGAAGTAAAAACCTTCAAGATTTTTTGACAAATTTCTATTCAACATTTTAATACACAGTATTATACGAGTATGAATATTATATACATTTATGAGTATAGTAAATATGAGAACAGAAGCAATCGTAAGACTAGAATAGCATTCACAGTAGATACACACAAATAAATGCACAATACAAAATATCCAAAATGTCGTCGCTGCTGCTGTGGTGAACTTAGTTTTTTTCTTTTTTTTCTTTTTCATTGTCTTTTTTCTAAAAAAAAAAATTGGGGCAGTGCATTATTGTCACTTTTTCATTTATTAATTTTTTTTTAGCAAATATTAACCAATATTAAAACATTCATTACAAAAATTTCAATTTTATAATTAATTCATTAATGTTTCTCTTCGAATAAATTTCATATGCCCTAACTTAATAATAAATACGAACTTTTTAAGATTATTCAGAATGGATGTAATTTTTTTTTTATTAAATACAAATTTTAAGTACTTCAAGAGCATTTTTTCTCTTTTAAAGTTACATTACTTACGTTGTCCGACGGGATACATTTTTTCTCACAGCTATTTTTATCTTTTTTTCTAAAAATTCTATTTTTCGTAATTATTTTAAAAAGAACACTATTTCTTCAGGCACAATGGAATATTTTGTTTGAAAAAAAAAATACAAAAACTTTTTTTTTCAATCACAATATTTCTTATAAAATCACTATATATTTGAATAAATTATTTAGCTTTTTATTCCATCGATAACATAAAATTAATTTTTATATAAAAAATTAAATAAATTGGCTGCTTTTTCTCTATTTCTTCGTTTTATTTTCTTAAAAAAAACTTCATTTAACACACAATTCAACTTTTCGCTATCTTGATTTGCTAAAAAAAAAATTGTGGTGGTGCTCTCTACGCAGTCCGTCAAAATACAACAAAACAACAAGAAAAAAAAAAACAAAATGGCGCGCTGAATTAAATTTCTTGCTGAAGTATGACTTAAATGACGCTTCTGAAGGCTTTTTTCCTTCAAGTGTTGCCGTATTTATTGTAAGCATCCATATATAATCCATATTAAATACTTATTTTACCCAGTACACCGAATGTATTACAACATTAGTTTGATGAGTACTTATTTATAATTTTATTATTTATTTTTATTTTTTATTATTAAATTTTTTTAGAACAATGAATCTAAACATTAGGCAGCGTTTTCAAATCAACAAAATTTTTATAATTTTATATGTATGTACATTCTGAAAACAATTTTTTTGAAATTACATTTGATATTGATTCACATAAAAATTTTCTTCTTTTATTCTTTTTTTATAGTATTTCATTTAACTGCAGAAGTAAAATACATATACGTACTGAATTTAAGTTTATTGTACTAAATTTAATAGCAAAATGTACCTTAGAGGTTAAATTGTTTTGACTTGCTTGTTAAAAGGTTAAAAATTTTGACGTCGATATTTTCCAACATTATAAATCGATTGACTTAAAATCAAACTCCATAATATCGATTAAACATATGTCAATGTCAATTCATTATATTATTATCAAATAATTTTAAGTGCTGAAGAACAATATTTTAGTTTTCAAATTTAATTTTGTTTTCAATAATTCAATAGAAAACAAATAATCAATGAAATTTTAAAACACTTTAAACATGTCTATATATTACAGTGGAACATTCACAAGATCTGGAGGAGTTGTATCTGCAATTGGAAAGCAATTAAAATTACTTAATTTGAAAGCCGTCAGCAGAATAATAGTCAAGTTTGACCCATTCAAGGAAAATACAATATCAGCAAGGTATGTAACAAACATGAAAAAGATCAATTATGCCGAAAATGAAACAAAAAAAAATAAACTATTCGTAATTGCGAACAAATAAATAAAAGTCACAGAAGTTCTTATAAACAAATAGGACTTAACCTCAATAAATAAAATAAAAATTCCTGCTAAGGGATTTTAAATATAGAACAATAAAAAAGAACATGCGCAAATTCGCTATTGGTCATCATTATTATACATATAAACCAAAAATCGTATTTTATTATTTTACTACTTTTCATAGTGTTAAAATCTTGTAGCAATACCAAAATTTCAAAAAAAAAAATTTCCAAATTTAAACAAAAATAATATTTGTACTTACCGTATACTTTTCCAAGGATACTGACTGCACTATTTAATTGAAGTGCTGCTAAATCTGGGAAGGGCAAGGTATGTAATTGAGCTGGTGTTCCTGGCGTTAATTCCCGTTCTGTCGACATTTTTATTTATTTTTTTGCTCTAAATTTGAGATCATATGTTTACATTACTGAAATAAAATAAAATTAAATGCTATTAATATAATTTATAAAAAATTGTAGTTTAATACAATGTACATTTGAGAATTAAAAAAAAACCTATAGAAAAATAAATATTGATTGTTTTAGGGAGCTTCTTTTTCATTTATCAACACCTAAAATTTCTGGAACAAATCCAAAATGTGTGCTTAGAACAGAAATTCTATGTGGAAGGCAGCCATCAGAAATATCATTTTTGTTAAATGACCCGGCTCAAAGTAAGTTTTCAATTTCATTTATAAAAAAAAAGATAATTATTTTTATTTCTTTTTTAGAACAAGCACAATTAAAAGAAATAAAACTTTTACCAGAAAATTTATCAACATTGGAACTGCTACAAATTTGTAATAAGCACATTTCAACATTAGCGCCTCAAGAAGAAATTGCTACTACCAAAACTAAATTAGAGAAGAAACAAGTTGGAACTAAAAAGGGTTCAAAAAAAAAATAGTTTCTATTTGTAATTGAATATTGAAAGTGTAGTACATAACTAACAAACAAATATTTAGAATAATAATAGAAAATGAAACACAGAGGAAATTTAGACGTTATTGAAAAAATTTATCATGAAATACCAGCATTCACAGATGTTTTTACAGAGGAATCATTTTACGTTTTCGCATTTTGGTTTGTTATCGCTACAGTTTTGGTTGCGGTTATTTTATCTAGATTTATTACCATACGACCAGTAGATTTTTAATATTAAATTAAAATGTGATTTAAATACCTTATTAAGTACCAGTTAAATAAATTTTGTTATATGAAATTTTAAAATGTTGTGAAAAAACTATTTTGTTCATCTCAAAAAACTTTAATTTGCTTTGTCTAAAAAAGAATTCAGCTTTAATATTTATGCACCAGGAAGTTTAAAGGTTTTTAGCTCTAGCTTACTAAGTTGGACAATATCCACATACGAATTTGCTGGTTGGTGTCTAGCTGCATTTTAAACGTGAAACATTAATAAAAATTTAAAGCATTTTACACATACTTAATTCTAGTTAAACATTATTCTTTATCACACACGTGACCTGCCAAAAAAGAATTTGATAATCATAGGCCAACTATATTAGCTATAGGGAATGGAACTCAAGAAAATGAAAACAAATTAAATATGTGTAAATTAAAATAAATGAAGAGTTTTCCAATTACATTCATATACACCTATGTTCTGTTAGGGGCGTCATTTAAGATGGTGGGATAGTATTGGAAGTTATTTTGAGTACAAAACATCAAATTTTAAAAATAAATTAATTAGAAATTATTCAGAATATTACACTTTTCATATAACAAAAAATTATTCAGAAAATTACACTTTTCAAGAACAACCCGTCACATCAAGTGATGCAAGTAACAGAATATGGGTGATAAAGTTATTCCAAACTTAAGTAGGTAGTCAATAATTAATACATACATATTATATAAATTGGTGCCTACGGTCCAAAACATCTCAATTCGTCTTTAGTAAAAATAGTTGTATAATAAGAAACACCAGTAATTCGATGGTTAGTACAATAATGAGTGATTTGCTGTTAAAGTTAAAATCAATTAAAACTTAATAGAACTCATGTTAATTTTTTAGCCTATAGGTACAGAAAGTCTACTTGTTTTAATAAAGTTATAAAATGTAAATAGATTTTTTCAAGCATCAAGCCGAAAAGGCGCAATGAACATCACATAGTCGGAAACAAGAAACATTTATTCTGCCATTTTTGATTGAACCCGTTAAACTGAGGAAACATAAAGCTATATAGTTTTCAAAAGCTTAAAACTATATTTCATGAATCTTTAAAACTGTCGACGTTAATTAATGGTCAAATAAGAGGTTGAAACGTTATGTTTCGCCTCAGGAATTGATTGTAACATTATTTCTATATGTATTCATAATAATTTCAAAAATTTGAAAATTAATTACAACGCATCAAATTTACTGTATAAGATTTACTGTAGCTGCGGAAAGCCATATTTTTTGATAAAAAAAATACAACCCAACATATAGAATAATATTGTTGTCACAAATCTCATACTTATTTAAAATTATTCTTATTTAATAAAATTTAACTTTAAAACCAGCACTCAAAAAAAAAATTTTTGAGTGCTCTATCTATTTTCCTCTGCTTTGCAACTACATTTTGGAACAGGCTGTAATAAAGAATGCTCGCATAAATTTCTCTTGTATAATGTATATTATGTATATCTTCCTTTTTCTTTTTCATTTAGTTCAAATTATCAACCCATGGTGAAGTTATGCTACACGCAAAATAAACAACATGATTTCCTAAATTCTTTTTTCAGTCACCTCTTTTACTCAATTTCAAGTCTATCATTCTTTAATTGGATGTGCACATTTCCCAAATAAGAATTTTTTTAATTTGTTCTCAAAATATGTATCAACTGCACTTGCCATCACATCAAAATAAAATGACTAACGTGGTACATAAACATATGTACATACTACATACATATTATGTAGATTAATATTTGGAAAGTGATATTTTGTCATGTATTCTTTAAAACAACTAACAAACATATGCACATGTAGTTAGTCAAACGACTCGATTGGTCGGGTTACACTTATTTTGGTCAACGATATTGTAGGCTTTTCGTTATAGAAAAATAATTTGACAATTTTTCTATTGTTCGAACATAATAAAAAAAAAATTTTATCGTGTAAAACTCTTCCAAATGAAAATTTTCATAATATTTACATACAAACTTCTAATAGAGCCTTACTATGTAACTCGATTTTCGTATTCGAAAAAATGGTAAAGTGTACCTTAAAAGTATACTACCTTTCCATTTCTGCAAATACAAAAATATTTTCACGAAAATCAAATTACACAGTAAGAGCCACTGACAGTATAACTAAACTAGCAATGCTGAAATTAGGCTAAAACAATTTTTCTGTAAATACATAACATACGTACATACATAAAAATAAACACAATCTGTAAAACTAGGTAGGTTCATATCTTCGAAATTTGTTTATGTTGAATTTTGGTCCGTTATATATCAAATAACACGGCTAATACTTAATTTTTCAGTTAATGTAGTAGTGCCATCTTTTTCAATGATTTAGTTTGAAAATTTTATGATCTTAATCGTTCACCGTTCATCCCAGATATCTCATCCATTCCATGTCATTCAGCACGTATTATTATCATTAATGCCGATATACACACGTATATGTTTTGGAAAGAAAAAAAAATTAATAGAGCATATATGTATATGTGTTAGTAAATTGAGTATTATTCGACTTGTGTAAAAGGAACCTTTCGTTCGGTATATAAATTTCCATGTATTTCCATTCAATACATATAATATCACATTAGTGCATCTGTATATATCTAAACATTTAATACATGGAAAGAGAGAAAAACTAAAAAAAATACGTACAAATATGGTGATTTCTCAAGTTCAATGTCAAGCATGGTATTTTGTTATTTTTCTGTTTCACTTTTGTATGTACATTAGTTTTTCTAGCTTTTCCTTTCAAAAATCTTGTTTTATATACAATGTAGATATGTATATAATGTGTAGATATTTTTGTTTTTACTAAAAACTTTTTTATATATAGATAGAATGTAATATGTATAACTATATTTATAATAATATACAATGTGTACATACATATTCTATGTACATAAATAATAGTTATCTTTTATTAACGTTTGCATATGAGCATGTACATACATGTGTATATACACAATGCATGTTTATAAATTTTGCACAAAATTACAAAATTTCGTGATAATTTGGCCCAGAAGGGAAACTTTGAATATACATTGTATGTCTGTATGTACATACATACATATGTATCTAGAAACGTTTTACTTAGTTTTGGAACAAAATACCCCTTATTTTTTTTAATTGCTATCAAAGAAAATGGCGAATTTGTTTTGGCTGATTAAAATTAATATTATTCGTTTATTGCGTCAAAATATGTATGTACATAATAATTTTCACGATTAAATAATAAACTAAAGAAATCATATTTCCGGATTGTGAATTGTTTTTCTTTATTTTAACCTCAAAACATAGACATCTCTTACTTTAAATTTTTTATATTGTTTCAGAACCTCAATGTCAATTTTTGTCAATTTCTGTCTCAAATGTAAAAATTAAAGTAATCGTTGACTTCAAAATTGCACTAATACGGACTTAATACAAAATTCAGCTTATCAGTTGTTATTGCTGAATTGTGTAACAACGCAGTATTACCACAATTCTGAAGTCAGGGAATATTATTATGTAATTCATATGTATAACAAACTTGCAATGTTTTTAATTTTTTTTTGTTTATTGTGTTTTAAATGCGTTTTCTCTTTAATTGATTTAACATTTTAAAAATTCAGGCGACGCATTTATCCGAGAATGATAGTATATCCTTTTAAATTTCAAAAACATTATAAATAATATTGTCTGTTGTTCTATATTGTATCGAAAGCTTTACAAAACCACACTTTTCAAATTATAAATATGTAGTATATAGTTATTGCAATGCAGAACAAAATTTGAAAAACTTTCTTTAGCGATATTGTGCAACACGTGTATTAGATTTTGTGATATAATTCGTAGGCATACAAGCATTGATCGACAATAAATGTCAAACAGAAAAACTGAGCTGAAATCCCCATTTTTGAAAAGGATTATCACAGTGTAATTTTCTCAAACGATAATTAAACTGTCATTTTTCGATAATTAATTTTGTCATTTTTTCATCGATAATTATTGAACACTTTGAAAAAACATTTGACAAAAATGGTTCAATACATACATTCATGTGTGTGTATCTATTAAGTTTTGCTTTGCTATACTTAAATTAATAATTTGAGCTTACAAAGCAATACTTTTCACATTTTTTTTCACCGGGAAGAAAATTTTTACCAAGTTGTACCATAATACACTTCGTAGCCCTTTACTAACCATGCAGTTTCGTTAGGTAATAGTGACTCTATGTAAATTTGTGCTTTATAGTATATCAAAATACAATTCAGAAGTGCGAGACTTTTCACATTTTTTTATTTGTTTTTAAATAAATTTATGTATTTATGTGCATATGTGCATAATTTTTCAATAAAAATACACAAACATTACAAAGCTAATAATAAATAAATGCATATATATGTGCGTAATAATCTATACATATATATTTTTAATTATCCCGTTACAGAAAAACAATATCTCGGATGAACTGCAGTAAAGATATGTTAATAATTGTACATTTTCTATGAGAACATTTATGAAAATATATTTCTCTATTCTGTATATTATGTGAAAGGGAATGCATACATAAGTACGTACGTATGTATGCATGTACATACATATTATGTACTTTTCATGGCTGTTTTTTTCATATATACATACATACATACATCTCAGCTGCGTAATAAAAACTTGAAGTACCAAATTCATGCATATGCACATATTTACTTACATAAAAAGGTGGTTAGAATGCTAGACTTGAAATAACAAATAAAATCAGTTGGCAAGAAAACTATCTTTTAAGGAAAACAGAATCTACTTTTTAAGAAATTAGGTTGAGTTTCTATACACATATAAGTATGTACATATGATATACATAGATATGAATATATTATATATTATTCTGCGTTTACATAAACTGAACATACAACAGAATGAAACGAGAATAAGTGGAAAGCAGCAGCATAATAAAAAGAAAATGTTTTAATGTTTACATTTTTTGGAAGAATTGTGTTTTTCTCTTATAAAAAGTGAAAACAAGAAATTGTTGAATTGATTTTAATTTTTTGAATTGGTTGGGGTTAAAAAACGAAAATGCATGCATATATGTATGTATGTATCTAATTTATGTACATATGTTTCTATTTACATACATACATGTATGTACTTTATATGTAATTATACGCAATTATTCAGATATGCATGAATATTTATTGTAACATTTTTTTCATTTAAACGTACACATGCATGAACAAAAATAAGTTTTTAAAATATGAATGTAAGTATGTA